GTAGTTATATTTATTTGCTCTTTGACTAAAATGTTTAGCTGTATTATTGCTAAACTTGCCGTTTTTGAGAATTTGGTTTGCAACTAGGTTTGAACATCCAAGCACGCCATCAGCCCATTGAAAACATTAGGTCACGTCAGCTAGTTTCCTATCCATTTATTTTATTATCCATGCTCTTGAGGAGAAAAGACCCTGGTCGGAGCTGGTCACGTGGCTCACAGTAAATTAATTGCCTAAAGGGATATGGGAAAAGTATCATTTTAGATGCTTCCACTTCCGCACTTAAAGGCCCTGTCACACTATTGCGTATCGTACTAGCGTATGCCAGCGTATGAAAAATATTACTCATACGCCGGTATACGCTGACCTACGCTAGGGTACGTTTCAAGCACGGTCGCGTACGGTGGCATACGCTGGCATACGGCGAGGTAGAAATTTTTTTTTAAGCATGTTCAAAAATTTTGTGCGTATCGGACGTATGCTATACGATAAGCATACTCTAGGCACACGCTGAATACGTTAGAGGTACGCCAGATGTACGGTACTCATACGCTGGCATTGCAAAGGATTTTTGTGCGTATGAAAATTATTTAATTAATTTTCATACGCTTCTCATACGTTTCTCTCATACGCAATAGTGTGACAGGGCCTTAACACTTCGATCGCAAGGAGTGTGTTAGTGCATCCTTTAATATATGCACATAATTATACGTATATTTACTAGGTATTCACTAGTATGGAACGAAACGCCCACATATAAAGGGGCCGTGCAGAAACTAGATGCGTTGTTGTTGAACTTATAAACGTTAAAAAACGTCAAAGTAGAACGCTAAAAGTTAATGTTGAATTAGTTTAGGACCGCACAACGTTTTTTGGACCGCTTTATGTACGAAATAGAGACGACAAGCGAGTAAAAAGCGTTGGCTAACGATTATATTATTTAAAATCCTGTGAGTGAATCGATAACCGCACGCTATGGCGACAAATTCTACAAGATCTAAAGATATAAACGAGGACGTTAACGAGGCTACGATAAGAACGAGAAAGCTAACGGACAAAGGCAAAGCATATATGTCGGATATCAAACGCCAACAACACAGAATAAATTAACGAAATTAATTGCGAAATTTGACAATCTAATCGAGAACTTCGATAACGTACATATTGTACAGAACGATCTGGAACTATTTAACCAACTTTTGATCGAATTTCAAGATATCTTTAAAATTTGGAGCGATTTATTAACGGAACAAGAGAGAGCCCGCCAGCACGAGTGGTATTATGAGCAACAAAGACGTTTAAGGTTACAGAACACCTTTGAGTGTTAATTTTGCCTAAAATTTTTTATTGGTTTCCATGAAAGCATATTAGACTAGTTCTGCTATGATCTGACCAAGTTTCAACGAAAAATGTTGAAAACTCGTAGAGTTATTTAATAAAATACATTTCGCTGCAATAAGAAAAACATTGAAAATGTAATATTCAAATTCAATTTTCTCCCGAAGAATTTTACGGTAATTAC